AACAAATGAAAGCTTCAAACCTTTCTCCAACAGCGTGACTTTCAGAAAGCCTCGAGGGACAGACTTGGTAACCGCTTCTGAATTAATACCAGGCTTCTTTCGGTCAAAGTCAATTGTCCCGATCCCGGGGTTGCTTCACACGATCAAAAGCCCGACAAAGGGGATAGTCTCAGGCATCAAATCCCCGCCCCTTGCCCGCACTCCCCCCTCACGGGATTTACATTGATAGGTACATTATGCTTAGGAGCAGTTGAACATCCCCAGAAGAGAAGGAGACCATGGGATAAAGAAAACGACACTATTGCCGCGAGCTTACCGCTGGAGAAGGCTGAACCTACAAAGCGTGGAATTCTTAGCAAGGTCGCAAAGATATATGACCCACTGGGACTGGCATCTCCCATCTCACTGGGGGGTAAACTCCTTTACCGTGACGTGTGTGACGCTAAACGTAACTGGGACGACAAGCTACCAAATGAATTGATGCAGAACTGGGTACAGTGGGAAGAAAGACTACCAGAGCAGCTTACAGTACCAAGATCCTTAGCAGCCCATCAAGAGGAAGTTCAGTCCATTGAGTTACACGCTTTCGGAGATGCTAGCGGGAAGGGTGTGGCCGCTGTCGTGTATGCCGTAGTCGTACAAGAATTGGGCGTTAACCAGGGACTTGTGGCCGCACAAGTAAGGCTGGCAAAGAAAGGTTTAACGATTCCTCGTCTAGATTTAGTGCCTGGTTATATGGCAGTTAATCTCCTGACAAACTTGACTGAAGCCTTGAAGGGATTTCTTTTAACGGCAAAGTACTGCTGGCTCGACAGCACCGTAGCATTGTACTGGATGCACCGTAGCATTGTACTGGATCAAGACTCCAGGCGAATACAAACAGTTCGTTAGCAACAGAGTACAGAAGATTCAGTCACACTCAGAAGTAATCTGGCGGCACGTAGGGACGACTGAAAATCCCGCAGATATTGGAAGCCGAAGCGGAGAAGTGTCAAATCATCCTTTATGGTGGAACGGGCCGCAGTGGTTGCAACATAAGGCGCGCTGGCCTCCAGATATTGTACCAAACGCCTATCAAGAAACACTGGTAGAAGCTAAAGCGACACGACATGTCTTTGCTGTGGCAATAGCAGAAACAGATGAGCTTGACACGCTCTTCGAAAAATTCAGTTATTCGAAAGTGAAGAGAATCTGCTCGTGGATAATGCGATTTATCCGCAACGCTCGTTCAGCGAAAATGAGAAGACTGACCGGGCCACTGACAACTGAAGAAACTAACAAGGCAAACGCATTTTGGGTGAAACGAGTCCAGACTAAAGCCCCATTGGACAAGTATTATCAAGAAGATCAATTGCAACTGAATCTGAAACCAAACTCAGAGGGAGTGTTGGAGTGTCGAGGTCGAATCCAAGGACACTATCCAGTGTATCTACCTGATAGTCAGCGCTACACAGAGAAGTTTATAACACAAGCTCATCTCGCAACGCTCCATGGGGGAGTCGTCAGTACCATGGCCAAAGTGCGAGAACAGTATTGGGTACCGCGTTTAAGAAGGTTGACGAAAAGAGTCGTGAAGAACTGCCTCGGGTGTCGACGATTTCAAGTGCAAGCTTTCTCGTCTCCGCGCCAAGGAACCCTCCCAAAGGATAGGACAGAAGGGCAAACTCCTTTCCAAGTCGTGGGGGTTAATTACGCGGGCCCGTTGAAGTATCGAAAAGGAGCGAAAACAGAGGGTATATCTCGCTGTACGCCTGTAGCCTGACTCATGCCTTGTTCTTGGATTTGTTACCCAGTCTGGAAACTACAGAGTTCCTCGCAAGTTTCAAACGTTTCATTGCCCGGAGGGGATTACCCCAAAAGGTGTATTCCGATAACGGGAAAACTTTCGTCGGTGCAGCCAAATGGATCAAGCAAGCAATGCGAGATGAGAAGTTCCAAAATTTCCTCGCCCACCAGGGGATCCAGTGGCAATTCATTTTGAGTCGTGCGCCCTGGTGGGGAGGACAATTCGAAAGAATGGTGGGACTGTTCAAAGGAGCCCTTCACAAGTCCATTAGAAACGGGATGCTGCCCTAGCCTGAACTTCAAGAAATATTGTTGGACATAGAAGTAGCTCTCAATAACAGACCACTGACCTATGTTGACGACGACATTCAGCTACCAACCCTTACCCCAAGTTCTTTCCTGTATGGCCAACCGAACATGTTACCACAGCCAGAACCTCAACCCCATCCAAGAAACTGACCTTCGGAAGCGGGCTAAGTATTTACGCAAGTGTAAGGATGCCCTGTGGTCGAGCTGGACAAGAGAATACCTGCGTGGGCTCAGGGAGAGCCACCGCCTAAAGGACAAAAGAAATTCAAGTTACCCATCAAAGGGAGATGTGCTGATCATCAGATCAGACGAGAAGAACCGCACTCAATGGAAACTGGGAGTCGTTGACGACTTAATCACCGGGTGTGATGGCGTAGTACGTGGGGCCAAGCTGCGATCTAGCAAGTCAAGCTTGGAACGCCCTTTACAGCACTTGTACCCCCTCGAGCTGAGCTGTGACAGCACAGTGGAGACGACCACATCAGGCTTAGTGGATACACAGGTTGTTAGGCCACAAAGAGACACAGCAGCAGCTGCTAGACTTCGTATAGAGGACATTGCAACAGATGATTAGTAAATGATTGAGACATTAAGTTGATTTTTCTTTCGTTTGACTATTTTTAAGTTAAGATGAACATTTGCTCTCTGGAGACAAATGGGGAGAGGGTGTCGTAATTAGTTTTTGATGTCATTCTGCAAAGATAAGAAACCTTTTAAAGTTAATTTAAATCGAAAGCAAACATCTAATTATTCAGCTTCTCTGTCAAATCAGTCGTTTTAAGGAACAATTAACCAGTGAAGCAAAAGTAGATTTTTATCAGTACCGTGCAAATAGATTTTTTTATATCATTGTTCTAAGATTCCAGAGTAGTTGAGTTTGGGATGTAAACGGAGTACGTTGTGATTGTGAAAGGAAAATTATATGTGTTAAATCCAAGCAACTGTGAGTGTTTTTTTTTAACGGGACTTTATCGGGAAAATCATTGGGTTGGCAGCAATCACAAGATTCCCTACACCGGTGCTTAGCTTTTTCCTTCTTTCCATATAACACGTAATGGTAGGTGTCCACTGTGGTGCGAGCTTTATTGTGGCTTGTGGCGTTATTTTGTCGCCTTAGGCCCGGTTCAGACGCCGCTCCACTCATATGCCGAACCTAACTGATGAATTAAGTACGGCAAAAGAGCGGCGTCTGAATCAATTTGGTACGGCAGTTTTAGTTTGGTGCGGCAAAAGCATTAAGTTCGACAGAGTCTGTCGAACTTTTGTGGAACTTAACTTAGGTTCGAACACACGGTACGCCGTCTGAATCAGATGTCGCGCCAGTGTCGCTCCAAAGTCGAACTTATTCAGTTAGGTTCGGCACATGAAAAGTACGGCGTCTGAGCCAGGCCTCATTTGTAAACAAGACATCATACACGGAAATGTTTATTGCTGTGTTTGAATTTTTCTAATTGTTCGATTAAAACTAGCCACAATCGTGGCCAAATTTATTTCAACAAAGTTGTTTCTTATTGCTACTTTCGGGGAATTAGCTCTTAAGTGGTTTCTCAACAAAGCTCGCCCCCTTTTAAGTGGGTCACTTTAGATCATATTTTAATGAAAACACGGCTCGATATAAATTAATTTTTATTATTATTAACAATTTTGGTAAGAGTCTACTGCAACTGTACCATGTGTTGAAATTAGTACTATCGCGGACAACAACATTTAACTTCACTACACATGAAAACACATCTTTTCTCGCATGTGGTGAGGTTGTAAGTTTGACTTGTAGCAGCAATGTCCAGTCTTTCCTGACATTTACCCTTTTTGTTATCTAAATAATCTGAAATAATACAATCTGTCGCAACTATAAAAGCAAAGTACAGTTACTTAGTTGTTTAGTTGCTAGCAACACTTCAGAATACCCGGCCCGACTTCTCGGAGGTTAATGTCGGTCCCACAGTAAGGTCTGCTCGATCGGTCAAACAACAATCCCGTGTGGCGAAACTACATTGCTCCTTGGACCAATCAACGTAATCTGCACAGTTCGGGTTTTCGATAAAGTCTTGTCACCCAGCCGACATCTTTATGCCAAAAAAACAACGTGCTTTTCCATCACACATTTTAGAACATAAAATGAACATGGCGTTACGAAAATTCGCACATGGCGCAACTCACTACTGCAAATTCAAACACACAGCACTATGTGAAAATGCTTTGCACTGGGACAACAAAACCACCATCAACAAGCAAATTTTATGTAGATTTCATAAAATGTTTTTCAAAGAAGCAAAAATTGAAATCCACCTTTCTGTCTTCAAATGTTTTGCGCCTTGTGAGGTAGATCTTTGAGCTGAAACACTGCCGTTTTCAGCTGTTTTACCTCTAGAGAACACGCAGACTTCATCGGATGCCATTTTTTTCACACTCACGTGCTTCCTCGTCATACAAAGGCGCAGCTCCTAAGGTACTGTGGGAAAAGGTCATCTCTAGACGTAGCAAAGAGCTGAAAAGTGACCCTGGATCGTGTCCCTTGGTTTGGGCGCCATGTTGAAAATTTGGGTGACGTCATCATATGTCCAGTTCTGGCTGTGGCCCCGACTGGTATATAGTACTTATTTATTTTTAGTTTTTTTTTAGACTTTGATACAGACTCATCCGTGACATCTCTATCAGCTGTTTTTTTCCCAACTTTTTGCCACCTTTATTGGTAGAGAGCAGTTACACACACCGTGAAGCTTTTCTCATTTTTCTTCCTTAACTTGAAATAAAGAAACGAAAATGATAAGACAAAGAACTAAAATGCAAAGCACGATCAGTGTAAAACAGAGAAAATGATGGAAAGCAATACATTTTATTTTAGCAATGTTCCTGACCTTTGATCAATGGCATGATTATATTTTATAGACGCAGTCACAGTAACGATGGTGACTCCCTCAACATCCCAATCTTGGATTGGAAAAACTGTGAAATTGACATGTACTGCAGATGGTGCCCCGACGCCAGCCTTGTCATGGAAAAACGCGCGTGGGAAAGTTATAAAGAAAGTAAGAGAATTGAAAAACACAGTAGATGTGCTGATGAAAAGTGATCAGGACTTTGGTAAATACACATGCGAGGCCACTAATGTTGTCAATACTGATACAAGTACAGTTCAGGTGCAGCAGATAAGTAAGTGGAATTATCTAATGTTCTTTGGTTGTATATAAATATCTGTGATATAAGTACAAGCTGGAAAAAATCATTCTGTCATTTTGCGTTCGGCAATGGTTGCATATATTATTTTTAAATTTAAGAAAACATCAAGGGACATGGGTCCTGTCCAGCTTAACATTTACGTGGGACAAAAACACCCTTGTAATTACGTCATCTGAAAGGCTTAATTCCCGTCTTTCCAGAACCTACTTCGTCGTTCACGTTCTAGTGAGATGCTTTTGTACAATGTGACTGTTTATTGGTTGCAAAGTCCCCATACCTCTAAGTGCATACAGTTTAAAATGAATGAAATCTATGCACAAATGGCAGAATGACAGGGATATGTTTTGCAGGTGTATTTATATCGTAGATGTTTATGACCAAACACAAAAGAAGATCGAAAAGGGCCCATTTATAATCCAGATACCTGGATGGAGGGTACATATATGCGGCCTTCTTATAATTCCGACTAAGCAAAGGAGGTTATCACATTAAATATTGTGCCATTTCTGATTGGCTCAAATCCCCCGGCTAATTCTTTATAACCAGTTGGCCCTTTTAATTGGAAGATGCGAGCTATATACCATCACTTCGATTGTATAAATTATCATATACCTTTGATTAACCTCGTTTCCAGGCACGGCAGTCCAGCTCAGTGTTTATTCCTGAGTGAACTAAAGAAGAAAATGGCGTTCACGGTTATTCCAAAGACGAAATAGCTGAATTTCTAAGTAACTAAACGGAAGAAATGAAAGAACACGCAAAATATATCGCTCGAAGGGTGTTATGTACTTTTTGAGGAATATCTACAAGGAAAAACATCTGTCTACGAAAGGGTAAATTTGTGAAGAACTTAAAAATATTTTAAATGAATAACAAAACGATGATTGAGTTTGGCTTTCTTATGAGTTGAAGTATTATGTGGATCTCGGAGGATGTTAGTGACCCGAGGCTGAAAGCCGAGGTCAGGTGGATGATGCATCCTCCTCGATCTGCATAATTCTTCACATCCTACTCAGCCTCATTCAATAATTGCTGTTTGGCCTGTAGATTTCACTGAGAAACACAAATGAAAACAGAAGATGGGGCTTAATTAAAATCTAATTGGTTTATTTTGGTAATGCCCATTGCCACATGTCTTTTGTGTCCTTATTTAAAGGGGTAAACCAAAGGCTGATAAATTTAGTCTATTTCTGTTTTTTATGTAAAATATTTTCCGAGTGAGGCCTTTAACTGTTGCAATTAAACGTAAGAGTTATAGCACGAGCTTTCGCCAATCAACTACGTCATCATCTTTTGTTTATAATCAATGACAGGGTAACGCGCCTCTTAATCTTGGTAAAAATCGTCGAAGACAATATAGTTGGTTCGTAGAGCTCTCCATCTTTGCGTCTTACCGATTTATTCTACTTGTCCATCCTGCTCCTGTTGACTATGTTATTTGTGGTTCTCTCTTTTTCTTTGTATTTTAGATTTGTAGCCTTTCTATATATTCATCAGTTAACAAGACAAAATGTAGCTGGGAGCTATAGTACGAATTTCTTTAGCGTTTAATTTTAAAATGTGAGTCCCAGGCCGAAAAGTTACCTAAACGGGTCCCTGATTCGCACAAGCATACAAACTACCGACTTGCTATCCCCCCTCTATCATGCATGCATTTGTGCGGACCTATTTTGTTTTCCCTCAGAGACACCAGGCTCACCGACCTTCACAGTGGACATTGAAGCAACGTCAATAACAGTTAATTGGACAAAGCCAGCTGATGATGGAGGAAGTCCTATTACAGCATACAGAGTTTTAATACTGCTTGGCAACACGGAGATACAAAATACGAATATTACCGATTTAACGGCCATGCAGCTAGATATTGGAGGTCTAACCAAAAGCACAAACTACATTATCAAGTTGTTTGCCAGAAATTACGTGTTTGAGGGAAATGCAGCTGAAAGGAAAATTCAGACCAAGTATGAAGGTATGAAAATCTGCACTAAGAATGCACTAAGAGTGCATAAGAATTGTAGTCAGTCAGTTGATTTATTTAAATATTCATTTATTTTTTAATACAAGTGACCAGCACAAAGCATACGATAAATCCGTCTGCCCGTAAACTAATTATTGCACTTTATGTGAAGCTAGGAATGGTATCATCGACCTTCAAGTTTATTGCTGTTCACACCCTAGTAGTAGTTTATGTAAAGTGAGTTTCTTTAAATCTGGAATTAAACAAAAACCTGTCATAAAAACCTATTGTTAACAAGATACGTAGCTTCTCATTACAGAACAACGAAACTTAACAAAAAAAACCACGGAACAACAAAATCATAACGTAGCTGGTGGAAATTAATGCAGGAACATTGCAGTAATGTTCTTAAACATGATACCCCCGGTATCATATCGTGTGGTTTATGCTTCGGAGCTAATCAATCAGCATACAAAGATAACCGACTTACAGAATCGTTCGTCGCGACGATGATTTGTCGATGGTCCTCGATGGCAGACGAAATGCTTGGCTACCTCGTGGTCTGCGTTGATAGCTTGTGAGACAAGTTGCGCTTTTTCAAGTTCGAAAAACTGTTGCCGTGTAACCGAATGAAGACGCAGTGAAATGCATCATTTCTCAAGAAACGTAGCTTCACTTCTCATCTTCAAAATAAGTCTAGAACCACAATATTTGTATAATGGATTTCTCCACTCCAAACCAACTTCTGTGAAAACACTTTCGGTCACGTGCTAGGCAACGAAGTAGTTCACAGGATCAGGTTTCACCATATTTTGAGTTTTTGTTCTTCATACCATTTATTGACTTCCGAACGCGATCAAGGTAATTTCTGCTGTTCCTGTCAATCATTTGTGAGGTCTTGTGAGTCTGTCACGAAAGCTAAAAAGTCGTAGGGAAATCTTCAACCGAACCAGAGAAAACTGAAAAGTTCGTCGGTTTTCGGCGTCTTTGCTTCGCCGTGCTTGCTATTTTTTCAAGATGAACTCCAGGCAAAATATCGCTCAAAGCTTTCTCTCTACAAACAATAGGATAACTGAACTATTTTTATTTTTCAGAACGTTTTATTCTTCTAGTCGCGGTCAGAAAATGTCTTAAGACTTTTTACCTTCTTAATTAGGTCAGATAAATTGTCTCAAATCTTACAAATGTGCGTAAAATGACGTCATAAACATGAAACCAGACGAAAACACATCAAATGCAATATAATTACTCACGCTTACCGGTCGAAATGCAGCACGGAAACCTATCAAGTAAGACTGAGAATCGCTTAAGACTTTTCGCATAGTCCAGCAAGGCGGAGTAAGCTTACTAAGAGTAACGTATTTTTGAAAACGATGATTTCCGATTTCTTTTTGTCGTGCGGCGCATTTCTCAACCACAATCCAGTAAGCAAGCCAGCCAAGAGTAACAAACGAATTTTGATAGCGGCTGTATTTCATTTCGTAGATCCAGTGCAAAAAGACAGGTAAAACATCGGAGGATGACACAAAACTCTGTCAGCGTTAGCTATCAGTAAACAAGTCTCAGATACTGCGTAAATTATCCACTTGAATCCTCTTCGCTAGCTCGCCCGTTAATTCTTGCAATGTGCCTTTCTCTTCTTTTACTTTCCCGTCGCTCTGCACTTAAGAGCAAATAGGTTGAATAAAATCCGCTATTGTTTGCTGCATAACAATATTTTCGAAACAGTTTACAAGAAACTGAGCACTGCGGTCACAAATCCTTATGCTTAAAATACTTGAAAACAAGTCTCTAAAGTAAACAATTTTTTTGAACGCGATGACGTTGACCACGCCATTTCTTGCGCGATTTCCCGCCAAGAAACACGCGGGTTGCACAAATGCATCGCACGATTTATTCCGACCGTAGCGACTTTATAATCTCGTCACGCGCGCGCAGTCTGCTAACCGCGCGTGGTCTAAGCCAGCTGCAAAATTCGATGCCCCATAAATCTATGAATATATGCTTGGTGTCCGCCAATGACGTCATGTGGCGTTTCGTCATGGACCATTTGCGTTTCCAGGCAACATAGACTTTGCCGCCGATGACCAGGGTGCATTTTCACGTATTATTTTTGAAAGGCTGTTGTGTTTATTCATCGTCTGTGAAACAATGTTTACCATCGGTGAATCACGAACAATTTCCTATGCAAATGACACACAAAGACAACAAATGGCTTCAAATCCTCGCCCAGGAAGATTTTCCACCGAAACTCCTCTGGAGCAAGAACGCCGACTTCAAATTCAGCGTGAACAACGAGGGAGAAGACGTCAACAAGAAACCGCGGAGGAGAGAGAACATCGCTTAGCATGCACAGCGAAGGCAACGCCGAAAACAAGAGACAGAGGAACAGGAGACTGGAATATCAGAGGCATTATGATCGTTTTACGCTGTGGAAAACCCAAATTTATTAGTTTGCTGCTTTCCCCGCCGATAAGTCTGCAAAGTTTCAGCTCTGTACTACGGCCCGAAGTATAATAATTTTCATGCGAACTGCACTGCCACATTTGTGCTTTGTTTTTGTTTTTTGTTTTTTCTAAATCCGGAGGCGGAAATAATGCTAAATATGCTTTTCAATACACTTTTAACAATACCACACGCAAAAAAAGAAGAAAAGAAAGAACAGCGTATGGACCTTCACAACGATATTCGCGCTAAGTCACCCATCCAGTTCTTAACCCTGACTGACAGGGCTTAACTTGAGTGCTGTTACCAAACCGAGTTTCGCGAGGGTTATTGCGAGATATGTATTTCTAATAACACACTCCTCCCCCCGACAGGCTGACACCTGATTCCCTTCCCTTCCCCTCAAAAAGTGTACGGGCGTACGCTACGTCATAACCAAATTTTCTCGGATGGATAGTTTACCCAATTTTCGTACCCATGGTACTCCGCTGCGCGCGCTCCGCTAAAAAGCACATGTTGGAGTGACTATGTGTCCAGCATTGACCTTAATTTGCTATCATTTTATCTGGAGACATTGCCAATGCGTTGAACAACGTTGGAAAATCATTCTTCATCATTTGACAAAGTTGCACGCATTCATGGGACACGTTGCAAATGCGTTACGAATCATTGAGAAACGTTGCAACGCATTTTAAACCATTCAAATGTGTTGAATGATACATACTCATAAATTTTTGAGGCTATACGAATATTCACATAAGGATGTGGCATATGTAGCACCATTCTACCATGTTCATTTTTTTCACTCTTCAGCAGGAGTCACATGCGCTTCTTGAGCGCCAATTTTTTTTTTTCGGATAATATGGTCTTGTTTACAATTTGTTACAAAGCATGTCTTCATTGAAAACGAGGTAAACTTTTAAGAAGGACAATTGTTCACAGACTCGAAGCAACTGGAGTCCAACGTTGCTTAAGTATCAATGCAACTGAAAGTAAACTAGTTTTTGTTTGCTTTGTACTATTCATCTTTTAACCCAGGAGTCCCAGGAGCAGCGGAGATCACAGATTTACCGGCTGAAACAAAGAATGTTAACATCATCTTAAAATGGAAAGAAGCTGAAAATAATGGAGCACCTATAACCCAGTACACTGTGTACCGAAAAACTGTCCGTGAAGATGGCACATCACTGAATTGGATCAAAATAAAGGAAATTACCGATACTTCAGATCGTAAAGTTGTGGTCAGTAACTTTGACAAAGGCAAAGAATATGAATTGGTAGTTACTGCTACAAACAAGTTTGGAGAGGGAGGGAAAGAAGAGAGAAAAATCAGAAAAATAAAGGTATTAGGAGGTAGGTGTATTCTGACCCAGGTATCTTAACTCTCTTTACACAGATTTCGTTTTTAATTTCCACTATAAAAGTAGACATAATGTGCGGCATTGGACTCCATCTAATGGTTGTATAATACGTAGCATCCGTTTGTTGCTAAGTGTCTATACTTCACCTTCGCCCAGTGTTACACCGTGTACACCCAAAACAAAAGGGAAGGCCTGTATTAGTTATTATTGAAAACTGTATCATTGGATGATGCAATTCTAGAGCTCTGATTGGCTTAGCCAGCATGGCACATGAGCCATTATACCATGCTCTCCAAATATAGTAACTGTACGCGTCTGCTCAAAATTAGAAACAATCTGAAAATCGATTTTTTAAACAAATCAAGTCGGGAAGAGTTTTCGATATTTTTGTGGGCGTTTTTGATAAAACAATTATTCCACACGCGCTTGTTGGATATGAGATGATAATAGCCAACTCGTTAGCCATCTACATGTACCATCTCATATCCAACGAGCACTCGAGGAATAATTGTTAAATAATACACGCCTTTGTCTTTAGCCTACCGTTTCCCAGGCACTTCGCGATCGGCTGCCTCCATCCATTGATGAGGCTTCGCTTATTCCAGAAAAAAAGTATACGTGTCTTGCCACATACCGGTACTTACATGTTTGTCGATCATTAGTCTCAAGTCTTAAAGTCTTAAAGCTATGGATTATATTGTGTCGCGTTCCAAGTGAATCTGTTGATTGCTTTCGAGGCGACTTTATTACCCGATAATGTCGTGTCAAAAGAATGTGAAAGCACACTAATCTTTGCTCAGGAAAAACGTTTTGATAGAAGTGAAGGACTAAATAACACATTGTGACAGTATTAAGCGTTTTTATTATTCGTTCAAAATATTTCCCCGATTCTGATTAGCTAAAAGCACGCGCGTAATTCACCATAACCAGCTACTGATGACCAAATTTGGAAGAATTTTGCGAGTAATGAACAGATCACGTCAAAAGCGCAGCTTTCTTGCAGGTTAATGCACCGTTAACCGAGAAGACCTGAGGACGAGGTTGAGTTGTTTTGGTTGTGAAAACAAAAGTGGCGGACATTTCACTCGTTTCAAGAGTGAGAACTTAGCTAAAACATGGCGAAAAACAACAAGAAGACATCTCGAAGGGCAACATCTGCTATTTGGAGAATATTTGCGGAGCTGAACAACCCTAAGAGTGCACTATCAAAGATGAACTTCACATCCATGAATGTTTTTGAACTAGGAATTATTTTGAGTGAATAATAAAACAATTATTGAATTCGGCTTTCGTATCAAATGAAGAATTATGGAGATCTCGGAGGGTGTTATCCACCGCGGCCTACTCCAGTTTCTTAAGAAGGAACGAGTAAAAATAGTAAGAGGAAAATTAACAACTGTGTGACATTTCGTTGTGTGTAAGGTGCTCCGTCAGCAGTGGCCTTCATATACGAATTAAACGCTGATGAAATAACCTTGAAGTGGGAGGAACCAAACGACAACGGAGCAGAAATCACAATGTATACCGTGTATTATGGAACCCTAAATGATGAGCAGTGGAAGGAGACTAAAAAGATAACTGATGTCTCAGTACGTAAATATGTTGTGAAAGTCGTAATGGGCAAGAAGTACAAAGTACTGGTAACAGCAAGCAATAAGTATGGAGAGAGTTCCAAGGAAGGCAAGATACAACTTGTTGACGTACTGGAAGGTGGGTTAAGCGCAAGTTTAACTGAACGAGTACGCTAAGGGAAATATACAGTAGATCACTCAATAACTTTTATCTGTTCACTAACTGTCACCTTGACGTTCAGTGATGTTCACCATTATGGTGTTATTTGTTGAGCCTCATTTTTTACTCCAGACGCGTGGATTAACTTATCTGACTAAAAATACCGAATTACTATTTAGGGAAGTTCTGCGGAAGTGAAGCTAGCCAGTTTTTAATGAGTTCAATTTCTAGCCTTTCTATACGTGAAATTCGTTTAACCACTACTGGTAAGTAAACTGCTGGTCGTTTATAACTAGGGTTTTTCCATTTAGCGGAAGTTCTTTAAAATTGCCTTTCTCTTTCTCTTGTAACGGACTGTTTAGTAAGAACGCTTATAAGGAATGTTAACGAAAATGTTTCATACCACGAGCTTAACACATTTTTGAACAAATATCAAGTCTTTGATTTTGAACTTTCTTTGCAAGACGTTACCTTTTTCGTCAGTTGCTAAAACTTTTTACCAACTAAAGAGTAACAAGTGAGAAATTAGAGAGGCTCTGCCTTGACCAAATTGTTATTATGTAACAAGTCAACAAAAGCAAAAATCAGATAAACATGTCAAGTATGTTACGTGATTTATTAACATCTTGGGAAGTAATATATATTAACTCTGGACGAGATAAATATTTTTTTCGACACTAAAGTTACTCAATATTAACTTTAATCTATATTTTCATTTCTGGTCCACAGTAATACTATTGTCTTCCAGGAAATATTCCTTCGTAATTTATTCACGGTTGCCGTTTGGAAAACCAGTATTCCCAATATATAATGTAGTGGGTCGTATTCTGTTAGATTTGAAGCAAACGTCGTAAAGAAATTTTGCAACCCGAGTTCTTTGAAATCGTACATGAAAACTAATATAAGGAAACTCTCGAGTCTGACAATAACTTTATTGAAGCAAAGCATAAACAATAGAACGTCCCAGGACGATTTTCCAGTTACTGTTAGCAATCTAGCTGGAAGCCTTACATGTGAAAACTGTAAATACTTTTAACCACCGAGTAATTAAGACGAGAGAATCCGACTGGTACAATTTCCCTGTTTTTACACCCGCCTGTACCCTCTGAATGAGTTACTTGTACTATGCAACGAGAATGTGCTTTGCAAAGCTTTTCCCCAAATTAATTCAAATTAACCTTCTGGTAAGACGTCCAAACTGATAAACCAATTTTGTCTAAATTTTGTCGTTAAACCTACCTGACGTATAACTTTCTGAGCGCCATTTATATAATAATGAAACAATGTTTCAAGGGGCCCCGTCACGCGATTATAGGAAATTCCAGCATTGTCACAAAATATCGTTATAACGCCTTTTTAAAATATCAAAGAACTCCAAAACGTACAAAAGGCCTAAAAAGTGGTATGCCTTGTATGAAGGGCAACCTCAGATAATTTTAAAATAGACTGAATTTTTGAAAAATGTATTGCGAACTTCCATCTTTAAAGATTTTCTTCAATATTTTACTCATAAATACTAAGGTTTGTTCTAAGGCCTGGATTTTCTCACCCTCGAACGAGGTTGTGATTTTCTCAGTAAAACAATGAGGTCTTTCCGGTAAGATTTCCGTATAACCCCATACAGTCATTATGCATGCAGCAGTCTCATACTATTTCACACAACAAGTTTATAAGAAAAGAGTCCTAACATGCATGCATAACAAATTTATGGGGTTATAGGGAAATCTTACCGATAATGTCACTTAATCTGTGTCGGAGGAACTTAGAAGACCAATTTTTGTTTCCCGGCAAAATGTGAATCGTTCATGCTTTAAAGGCCAGTCAGTTAGTACCAAGATAGGATTTAATACGACAGTAATCATTAAAAAAGTAATTTAGAAGGAAGTGGTTACAAAAATGAATCATTCCGATGCAACTCGTTAGAATAACAGTGTACGTTGTCAAATATTTCTCTCAGGTTTCTTCAAACCAACAGGAAGCCAAACAGCAGGTTAGTTGCTGTTACTCATGAAGGCGGATAGAAAACCATGATTGAACTTCACTTGTTCTGACATGCATTAGTGCCATAATTCATTTGCTTCAGTAAAATCAGAAACGCTTGAAGGACAACAATAGCAATATGTTACAATCCAGAATGTTCACAGGCAATTGGACACTATGTTCTGTATCTTCTCTTTCTACTTATAGTGCATCTGTATCTGTGGCTGCGCTATTGCTTACAACTAACGGCAAACATTTTGTGTTAGGTTCCTCGTGTGATAATTTTAAAATAGACTGAATTTTAAAAAATGTATTGCGAACTTCCATCTTTAATATTTTACTCATAAATACTAAGGTTTGTTTTAAGGCCTGAATTTTCTCAACCTCGGACGAGATGGGATTTTCTCAATAAAATAGCTATAAAATAATGAGGTCTTTCCGGTAAGATTTCCGTATAATCCCATACAGTCATTATGCATGCAGCACAATTTGCAGCAGTCTCATACTATTTCACACAACAAGTTTATAAGAAAAGAGTCCTAACATCCATGCATAACAAATGTTTGGGGTTATACGGAAATCGGAGGAACTTAGAAGACCAGTTTTTGTTTCCCACGTGCCAAGGGCAAAATGTGAATCGTTCATACTTTAAAGGCCAGTCAGTTAGTACCAAGATAGGATTTAATACGACAATAATCATTAAAAAAGTAATTTAGAAGGAAGTGGTTACAAAAATGAATTATTCCCATGTAACTCGTTAGAATAACAGTGTACGTTGTTAAATATTTCTCTCAGGTTTCTCCAAACCAACAGCAAGCCAAACAGCAGGTTAGTTACTGTTACTCATGAAGGCGGAAAGAAAACCATGATTGAACTTCACTTGTTCTGACATGCATTAGTGTCACAACTCTTTTGCTTCAGTAAAATCAGAAACGCTTGAAGGACAACAATTGCAATAGGCTACAATCCAGAATGTTCACAGGCAATTGGACACTATTTTCTGTATCTTCTCTTTCTACTTGTAGCTTTAGGATTATAGTGCATCTGTATCTGTCAATGCGCTATTGCTTACAACTAACGGCAAACATTTTGTGTTAGGTTCCTCGTGTGATAATCAAAAGGAAACTCTTCATGCTGTTTATATCACCATCATCTGTCTTTTGTTAATAAGTAATCTTATTCTGATATTCTTCGTCTGCCGAATGCGCACCCTTTCAGGTAAGTGGGCTTTTATATTAAAAGCATTGGTCTTGTTTCTTTACTTTAATTCTCTACTGAATTCGCCATGGTGACTCGACACGCTGACAGGGGATGATAGAGGTCTAAATTCCCAATTGGTATACATGTAAGCCCAGATTGTTTTGCAAATCGTTAAGATTTTTTTAATTCTTATAGAACATCGTCTCGATTAGATACTGGATTTAGAGGCTTTTTCCAATTTTCGTTAAACTATAATAGACCAGATCCTGCTACAGAGAGATTGCGGCCGTAATTTTGTATGTAACGTTATCACTATGGTTATTACAAAGAAAAAGACAAACTGGATGTAGTAGACGTTAATGTGAGGACTTAAGATACCCGCGCCCTGTATTTTGTATTGAGCCCCAGAGATATATCAATAACTAGTTGTTAAAGGTAAAAACACTTAACAATACTGAAAATATTTTTGTTTCAGGAAACGTACGGGGAAAAAAGTAAGTAACACCCCTCATTATTATCCTTATAGTTTTCCGGATTTATCGCCTCTACGTAATTATAGAAATATAATGTATGCCCTTTTTCAGCTAAAAACTTGTCTACGAAGAATCTTATATACCACAGTCATTGACGCTACAATTTTCAGTAAACCAGGTTACTTACCGCTGTTTTACCTTACCGTGGGATGTAAGGTTCTACTTTATGTTTCCAGAAATGCTAGAATGCAAAAGAAATCTTGAGTCTTACATCGAATCATTAATGTTTCAACGCTACCATTCCCTTCGTCACATGTACCACCAGTATCGGAGTGTTCACGTCTAATCTCAGCAAAGGTTGTTTATAATATTACAGATCGAGAAAGCTTGATAGCGTCTCGCTGGCACAAATTTTATACTAAACGGTTTAAGTGCTATTTACTTTCTTACCAACAGAAATTGTCCAAGATGTGGAGATCTTCTAGCCATGGCAAGTTAATAAGTTATTCCTAAGAGTATTTATGCACTAGGTATGGAAATTCAGGCGCGATGAAATGAAAAACCACTGTCGTTTTGCCTTGTCACGCTCTATATTTTAACTCCAGATGCGCCTACGCCTAACGTTAGGTCATGAAATATACCCAAGCATAGCAAAGCATCGTTGCCTGAGGAAATACTTCTAAGGTTCTCTTCTCTTTTTTCAGCGAATGACAGAAAGCTTGATTGGACGCTCCGTGTGAAACTTGAACCCAGAACATTTCTTTAGGACATTTGCCATTATATTATCATATTTAGAACACAGAGTAGCACAGCGTATTAATTCATTTCATTCATTCAATCATTTGTCTCTTTAATTGTATGGTTACTTACTGGCCTCTTTAAAAAAGGTACTTTACAGTTTAACGTTGTTGTTTTACTGCTGAATCTTGCCTTACTATGTTTGACAATAGAATCCCATTGCTGTTAAAGTAGAGGCTGATACACAATCCTTCGATGTGGAGCGAACGTTTGAAGCCCCTACCTTTTCAACCACAGCAAGTGCAGATTACATGCCACTGCATCCATCAACTAGAAACTGGGAGATCAGTCGCAGACAGGTCAACATAATTACAGTCATTGGTAAAGGAGCTTTTTCACAAGTTGCCAAGGCGACAGTAAACAACTTGCGTGGAAGCCAGGATAACTTGACAGTAGCAGTAAAAATGCTTAAAGGTGTGGTGTAATTCAGTGTACTATGACTAAAAAAAGGGGATTTGGCTATGGTTAAGTCCAAAGGTAGGTCAATACACTATGCTTAATACGACATCTCGTTCACTTGGATGGTTTCGATGCAGACAAAACAAAAGAGACCAAGCGGACAAAGAACACCGAAAACAAAAACTATTACCGCAATAATAATAAAATTAATGGTAAAAAATTAAGAATTTTTTTACCATTACTTCTACCATTACTATTCTTTTTAGCAAATGCTCCAGCTTCAGATAAAAAGGACCTCCTGTCAGAACTTGACTTGATGAAAAAACTAAAACCTCATCCCCACGTGATCAGGCTGTTGGGCTGCGTCACAGAAACCGGTAAGGGATGTGTGAAGGGAGTAACGTTTCAGTTTCCTGAAATTTGTGGCATACAAGTTCTCCTGGTGATGATTATACTGCCAATGATTCGAATGATATAGCGTTTTCACCAATATGGCCAGAAGTTATCGGTGCACTTTAATTGGAATAAAAGCAAACGTTTTGCATACCAAAAGTATTCAATTACTCTCACAGAACTAGGATGGTACACCAACGTGGCCGCCGTTCCATTGTTGGGAATACCAATATGTTCTCCGTGGTGTATGCCACATGGAACAATTTAATAGGCGGAAAGTATTAGAATGGACATATCACTGAGTTGAACAAATTAAAACAAAGAGAACTAATTCCAAAAGTTTAAGTAGATAACTTAAATAGCTTTCTTATAAAGTGATAGAAATGTCAGCAAATTGATTTCCAAATGAACATATGACTTGCTACATTTTTTAAGTATGTTTAAAAGAAATATGAAATAATATTGCAGTCAAACCCAGTTTAAATTTATATGGACACTTAGGGGACCATAGAAAGTGTCAGTATTAGCTGAGGGCTTTCTTTCCCCAGGGACAAAGCAAACTGCCCGTAAAAGTGTCCGCATTTAGAGGATGTCTGTAAAGCGGGGTTTCACTTTAATTCAGGGCTTTTTGTTTTCGGCCTTCGTTTCTGTTCCCTAAATTGCATCAAAACTGCGATGATCATACCTCCAGTTAGATTTTGTTTTGTCGCAGTCAGCCCCCCCCCTCCTGGTCGCAGTTCACATAATCTTCATTGAAAGGTACTAACTTCATTCTATGTCCCTTCGTGCGAACAAAATCATTAACATTTGCTCGGAGAGTAAATCGGAGAATTTTCTAATGATATGTCATAAGTGGGAACTCGTTTGAAGATTGCCTTATTGTATTGGTTACCATAGAGCCGTTGATGGTTTTAATTGAGTATGTCCCGTACGGTGACCTACTGGGCTACTTGAGGAAGAGTCGAGGACTGAACGACACGTACTTTAAGGACCCGGATATGAAGCCACAGACCAATCTTACCGTAGAACAGTTAATGAAATTCGCTTGGCAGGTCGCAGATGGAATGTGTTACTTATCCTCAAAAAAGGTTTGCTTTAAATGTGATTTCAACTAGAAGTAATGATTTGAATTGAGAACTGATATTGGAACTGAAAGATATTATATTACTGTATTAACATTTATCTACAAGATAAACCTTTATGGAACATAAGATTGAGCACTCAAGGCTTAATTAGAAGGTTAAGGTGGCTCGATACAGTTTTTCAGGGTCAATACCTCCCAAGTTTGAGCATAAACTACGTCGCCAAAAACAAAGTTTTGGAAAAATTGCCACCACAGTTGTATTAGATGAAGATGAAAATTTGTTATGATCAGGGTTGCAACGGCATCGGAGTTGTCATAGCAACGAAATGACGCTATTCCCTATTTTACTTGCAGCAGTATATCTCGGCACTGGGAACTGTTCTTCGAAAATCATTCACGGGAGCTTTTTCCTCCAATAGCAGCCTCGATGTTCGTGAAGTTTAAGCGAAATCTGTAAGAGCGTTGTCGAGATATTTTGGGATAAAGTTTTTATTGTTAGAAACAGTAAAAAATGGGCAATATTGTTGTTTGGCCGTTATCTGTAGAAAATGAAGCGCTTTGGACATGAAATTTCTCCTCACAGTAGTTTCAATCTTTTTAAAAGCGTGTGTGAAAGATCATGGGAGATAGCTCTAGCCGATTGCTAGAAAGAAGGGTTTGATTAGTATGTATCGAAGCGCTCTTGTTAGTGGTTTTGTAAACATTTTGGTCTACTTTAACAAATTAGCGAATAATTTTTAAACCGCTCGATAGATTTTTTTAAAAATTTAAGATTCTTGAGATTAACCTTCCTTTTATATGACCTTTTAGTTTCAAGATTATTGATGTATTGTAAGGCACTAAAATAAGGGCTACAATTCGTTACTTTTTTATCGGAAGTTTCGTCATTACAAGTGAAAGCCTCTTTTTCAAGGCATTGTCTCTAAGTTTCATTTTCACGTGAACAGCAGTAACTAACAATGCATTTGAAATATGCAAAAATGTTAGCTATTGTTTTGCACGAAAATATGAAATTTGGACATAATACCCTGAATAATGAGAGGCTCACATTCGTAAACACAAACTTTCTGCCAAAATATTTTCTACATCAAGCGATTGTCTTCAACGAACTGTCATGATAAAAACTTATCAAATTAACTGGCCTCTTCAGATGAGCCCGTGTGAGTTCCACAAATTGAACCCTGATTAAAGTATTTTATTCCCCGAATACTCCTTCCTGTACTTGCACCAAAGATGTTGCTTTAAGTATACAGTGTACGTGTACGTTGAAGAACTGTTTGCTCTTGCAGTAAAGCAACAAAAAATGGCCGCCTAGCTCTACCATGTGCTCTCCGGTCACATGACTATCATGTGACCGGAAGTGCGAACCAAAACGCAGGCATGCAAATAAAATACCAAAAAAAGGAAAAATAAAACAAATAGAATAAAGTAAACTGACGACGGTCGGTAGTTACAGCCCGGTTGCCGGGACCAATTTCACCTTGGGTTCAAATGTGAAATTTAAGCTCGGTTTCCTAAATCCTTTTTGGAAAAACCGCGCGCGAGATCTGGGGAACCGAGCCAGCCCACCCTGTCATATGAACACATTGAAGTTAGAGGTAAATAAGCGAGATCATGGAAACCGGGCTCATGTGAGGAGGCCCTAAGCACAGCTTTGAAAGGAATATTATTTTTATCTTGATCCGATTTTTGAAAAAGCCCTTATAAAAAGTTTTTGTCATGTAGATTATCCATCGTGACTTGGCCGCAAGAAATGTTCTGGTTGGTGAAGGGGAGAAATGTAAGGTGACAGATTTTGGAATGGCAAGGGACGTGCATCAAGAAGACATCTACAACAAAACGAGTCGCGTGAGTTCAACTAAGCAAACCCTTTAATTTTAAATCATATCGGGTTTTATCACAAAATTGCGTGAGATCTGTAGTCAGGGGTTCAAATCGCTACTTTGAAGTCTCGAGTATCCTTAGCGGCGTTTAAAAAGTTGCTGAGAAGGTAAAAACAATCAAAACATCGGCATAAGGGCGGAAATTAAATTTAAAAAAATTATTGCTTCTAATTTGATTGTTTTCTAAGGGGCGTCTGCCAGTGAAGTGGACTGCTTATGAATCGTTGATGTATGGAACATACACTACACAGAGTGATGTGTAAGTATTTTTTCTATTAAAGTAAACATTTTTTTCACGTTAAGCATGTAGAATTTTGTCTTTTCCGACGAGTCACAAGGCTTTCGTCTGTCTCTTTTGTGCCTAAAAAGAAAGGAATGTTACGTTCAATAATTAAACTTCAACGATAATTTTCCCCAAAAAATGAAAGAGATTTCTGTTGTGCTGCTTGTGCAGGTGGTGCTCTACTGAGAGTTCAAAGGTGACTGTAGCTTTTGGAAAGCCCGTGCACAAGCCTTCTCTTCATCATTTTAGTTAGTTATTTCTGCTAACGATGATTGGTTTGTTCTAGCTGGAGTTACGGCGTCGTACTTTACGAGATTCTTACTGTTGGTGAGTTGGGAAATTGTTCATCTGATATTTTGTTGTGTACTCTATTTTTTTCTTGTTTCTCATGGTTCGAGATAGATAGAACAGATACAAAATGAAACAAAAGCAAAACTCCATGAGAGATTCTCTCACAGTATGTTGCCCAGTATCCGGACACTTAAAACAAAAACTCAATTTTTGAGGCGCTCTTTTCAGTCATCGGTAAACAAAGAATTTCGAATGAAAGCTGAACATTTGGGCTTTAAGATGAAAGTTTTGGCGAGTTGAAAGCTTGCGAAACAGTCGCAGAGAACGCCGTTCTGTTCAGGTGAATAAACATTTCATGGTTAATATTTACGCTGTTTACTGCGCAGTAAAATTAGTGCTGCTCAGAAAAGGGTAGGTAGTATATAATATTTTCAAAGAAACAGTTTTATATTTAAATTGAAGATACTAAAAGAAGTCAGGTTCTCAGAAAGTTTATTAAAATTCTTCTTGATATTCGATTTGTTTGGAATAACGGAGCCCAGAAACATTCACTAAGTATTGATGTCAGGTGCCCAGTATCCGGACAGTTTTTTCTTTGCTGTACAGAATCGATGAATTAGCTGTGCACATTATCCGGAAAAGATTTATTTCATATCTATAACTATAATTAAAACTTAGGATATATGATATAGTCGTAAAATGTAATTCTTCTCAACTCCGTACGGAAATTTTCTTCGCTCATTCGGAGGCGACTTGATTTCGTGTGCGCCGCTTGTTTCGCGTGACTGCATTTTCTATATATAACCGAAAGCGTCGGAGTTGAACCTGGAATTCTCATACTTTCCCCACTGTGACTGCTAGAATGGGGTTGCAACGGTCTGAAAATGTCACAAAGGGATTGAGAGCTGTGAAAGAAGGAGGAATTAGTGCTAGAAAAGCAGGCTTATTGTAGGGTCTGTAGGGACTGAGCATGAAGAAATCAACACTGCAGGTCAGAACTAAATAGGAAAGTGACCTTTGACCGTCGCATTGAGGTCCCTTCCCCAAGCTTTTTTTTAAAATAAAAAATGAAGAAAAAAAGTCGTTTGCAGATTGGCTAATTGAGCTAGCAAACCGCGGCCTCGACATGTCCACGGATGTCTTCCTTAAATCAGTGAAAAAGTTCCTAGACAAGGAAGTAAGAATTATGCCATTTAACAACCCGGCTCGCGTTCCCCACCATACCCTAGTCATTTGTTATGTTTTATTTCACGATGCTAGGTTATATTTTTGGAATCGATTGCCAGACTACTTTGCAAGTGCAAGAGAAGCTTATAAGTCGCTTGCCTGTCGAAATTTATGTACAATTACGTTGTTATTGTTGTGTCCGGATACTGGGCCAGCTGTCCGGATACTGGGCAGCATAGGAGCTCTGCAAAAATATTAATTTCGCCATGAAAACAAAGGCAAAAAAGTTAAACTGTCTTTCGTCATATCAAGGACTAAATAGATTTTCTCTGGGCGAAATTTCAGAGCTCTTGCGACTAAAAAAAGAAAGTTATTGCAATGTTAAACTGAAGTGTCCGGATACTGGGCAACATACTGTACCTTAATTTCAATAATCATATCGGAATGATTGAGCAAACAAATAAATAATGCTTGATCAGTTTTTATTATCTTTTTAAATAATATTGTGTACTATTCTTATAAGAAATAAAAAATTCTAAAACTCAGAGCAAAGGTTTACCAATTCGAATTAATATTAATTTTGTTCAAATCGCGTAAACGTCTCTCATATGTTTTCGCTAGCCCAGAAAAACATTTCTTTCCGTTATGTACTCTTCTTCCTAGTATAGCTTCATTTCTTCCAGGTGGATCTCCATATCCGGATATAAATGCCCGTAACATCGCCCAGAAACTTCAGGGAGGATACAGAATGCCAAAACCAAAACACGTTGAGATTAAACTGTGAGTCGTAATACGAGTAGGGAAAAGAAAGTTCTAAGAAATGAAAAAAAATTTGAGTACGGATTCAGTTCTAAAAATCAGTAGCCATGCCGAGACTATTAGGTTTCCGTAACGGTTCCTGCGTATTCAGACCCTCAGGAATAAGTGGGGGCCTCGCTCATCCAGAGCCGAATATTAGAGGGGGACCGGCCTCGTCAAAAATATTTATCGGTTCTCCGGGGGGTTAAATTCGACCAAAAATAAGCGGGGTCCAGGCCCCTTCCCTAGTTCGGCGAGTGATGTAGTGATGAATAATATGTTCCTCTCGATTAGCTATCAGATTATGCTTGACTGTTGGAGGGAAAACCCAGTGGATCGTCCTACGTTTGAGAGACTGAGGAACACAATGAAGGAGATGGAGAGAAATCATAAGGTAAGAAGAGTAAGAGAAACAATCATGGATACGGAAGGTTCATTTAGGGAAGAAGCTAATGACTATTCAAGGGCTGAAGCTGTGAGGAGTGTGTAGCACCCCCCTCCCGCCCTCTTATCCCATTATGGGTTACTGTATTTATTTTTCATTCCGCTTGGTTTCTTCAGAAGCAGTTCACTTTAAAACATTTATCCATTACACTACATGCCTTGCTGACCAAGCTACTACAAACCGCCCGTCGACCTGGTTAGCTCATTTGGTTGAGTATCAGACTTTAGAAGGCATATAGGGTCCTGAAATAACTGACGAGAAGGTGTTTACATCGTTTACATTATGTAATTATATATTTTGATCCCGATCTCTCTCAAGCAGAATTACCACGGAAAAATGTAGACCTCTCAGTTTTTCCTTTCAGTTGATCTGAATCGGTAGAATTTTAAACAACTAGGTATGTAAAAAACGTTTGATATTATAGTGACCACTTCTGGTGTGCCGCCGTCCTTAGTCTTAGGTTGATAATCTGAAGGGAGGGATTCCAAGGTGGGGATAACTAATCTGTCTTCCTTCAGTAATCATAAAAGTTGCCTGGAAGCCATGTTTGAGTATTAGGTGAAATGAATTGTTTTTGAGGTCGAATGTGACTGAATAAAAATCCCACCATTCTGTGCCTTTTACGTTTTTGCATTGCTTTTATTGTTTTCATTTTTTCAGACATATGTCAACCTGAAACAATATGACCACAGCCTTTACGCTAATGTAAACGACTTGAAAGCTATGTGACCGTACAGCTGGTACTGGGCCGAAGGATCGTATCACAGACTGACCAATCAACCTAAATTTTGTCTATTATTACTATTATTATATTACCGGTATTATTATTAGTCGTAGTAGTAGTACAGTCGACTCCCGATAACTCGAACCTTCAATGGAAATCGAAAAAAGTTCGAGTTATCGGGAGCTCGAAGAAAATAGCCGAGAGTAAGGTAAAAAAACAGTTTTTACTGCACAGTGAACATTTTAATCACATTTAATTGTAGAAATGTCAAGTGAAAATTACAAGATACTTCTAGATTATAAATCAGAACGTAACGTAACAAAACATAGCCTAAACAGAGCATGCGTTTTACTGTTTTGAGAAGTAAAGCTGCTTCACGTTAGCCTGTGACAATCAACGTCAGCCTCCATAAGTAAACTATACTCCTGCAACACGTCAATAGGAAATCCAAAATTCAATGTTTCGGACACCAGTAGACGGCTTTTCTCCCGACTTTTCAAGGGCTCAAATAATTGTTCGAGTTATCGAGGGTAAAATTATATAGAAAATAACCTGAGGGGAAACGAAAATTGGTTCGAGTTAGCGGGAGTTCGAGTTATCGAGGGTTCGAGTTACCGAGGGTAAAATTACAGTGAATGTATGACGGAAATCCAGGCCTAGGGGAAATCCATTTTGGTTCGAGTTAGCGCGAGGTTCAAGTTAGCGAGGGTTCGAGTTATCGGGAGTCGACTGTAGTATAGGTAATAGCATGATTTGTAGTCATATTTGGCATAAATACCACGAATGATATTTCGAAATTGTTATGACGTAATTCACGAGCCGTTAGGCGAGTGAAATTTGAGACAATTTAGAAATATCACGACTGGTATTTAAAAGGACGCGATCACGGTTATGCGCATGCGCGCCGTTTGTCTCTTCAGAATAAATTTGTTGGGTCAACACTAAATTCGAAATCGCCATTACTGGTACAATCATTGAAAATCCTTCGTTTTATTCCGACATCCGTCGCTTTGGCTGGCCTAGTTATTCTTCGGTAGTGGTGATTAACGTGTGGTTCTGTTGTTTGACTGGTTACGTTTTAAGAAAACGCAAAAATTAATGTTTTGATCATGGAGGTTCAGAAGAGCATCGTGGCCGTCCGGCAACATTAGGACGTTCTCAAGAGTCTTTGGAGATAGAGAAGGTTAGCAGATCAATCTGGCATGGTTCTAGGAGTAGTGTGTGGCTTACGAAAAGAATACACGACACTTGGAATGTGGTTTAAGGCATGAGTTCGTTCAACTTTGATTTGATTTTTGACTCCCACCTGTAGTTTATACCGCAACAGGCCGCGCGATCTTCACGGATCTGGTACACTTGAAATTCCTTGTATCTTTACTTTACGATCGTATATGTTTAAGAATTGATGTTTTTAAAATAAATTATTGCCTGAATATTCTGTTTATAATCTAGTTTCTCGATAACATTTGTTTTGCTGAACACTGACCCGATGCAACGCGAATGAATTTGTTCAATTGCTGATAAGCAATTGAATTTATGCTCAGTTAAGGATAATTTTTATACTCATACGTTGTGTGTTTTTGTCACCGGTCAGGAACTATTTGTAGGTATTTCTGGGTTTATATAAGGCGAACTGAGAGAACAGTACTAAAATGTTTGTTTACAAAATTTGTTTGCCGATCGGTGACTGCTTTGTTAGCGTGGGTACGACCTTGTAAAAATACACGTTGGTAAATGTTTGTTTCAAAGCAGAAAGGGCTGTAAATCTTATTCTTATCGGCTGCGACATAATTATATCTGAGGAGTAGCAAAGAATAAACTTGAATTATGGGGACACATAAACTCAACCCAAATCCCCGGAAATACTCTCGCGTCGCGAACAATGAATTTGAATTTTGTAAATTTACTTGCGTGCATCTAACTCGCTTCCGATTGGTTTAAAAACAATCAGCTACTGTCAGAACTCACACATGCGCATTTTCGTGAACCAGTCCCTTTAAGCCAAATATCACATAGAAATCATGCTATTATTAGTTTATAGTACTACCCACAAAAGGTTTGTAATTTTCACATGTAGGTATGTCAAATTAAGCAGAAATGCCACTGCTCTAAGCCAATCAAATTGCAGAAATTCCTCATGTAGTAGTATAACTATTATTAGTATATACACACTCAGTGATCTTGGTGATTTAAGCAATCTGATTGGTTCGCTATCTCGGACTATTCAACAATATTCACCTCCTAGCGAGTGGATAATGTGTGAGCTCGGTGTTTTTCCCGTTTTTTTTAGAGAACGGTCTTTTAAAAGTCGACAAAATCCTAGGGCTGACTTTTTTTAAGGCAAGAAAAGACTTGGAAGGATTCAATACGGCGTTTTTCAATTTACTGTAGCAGGAGTTTTGTGCTCGATGGATTGTTTACAACTCCCGTGTATTCGCGTAGAAGAAGCCGTTGTGAACTCAGCGTTTTCTAAGAAGAAAATTTTGGCTCAAAAATCGAAGTTTATTTATGACAAACAAATTTAAAAGGAAATGTTTGCAGAAATTCTACATTTCAAGTAAACAGGAAAAAGAATGATACAGGAAGACGACCTCTTACCTCGAGCAACCGAGCCGCCATTTTTGTCAGCACTTCATGCGGAGAACGACACAACATGCCCTTTTGGCTATAAACTTGGCGAGTCAACAGAAAACAACACAGCTCTACTTTTTTTCTCAGGTAAGGAAACAGTTCAAACTTTTAGCGATTCCATTGAAGCCATTACGCTGTTGTTTGCGAAATGAGTAAACTTGTGAATTGCCATGTTTGAAAATT